TTTTCACCATTAAAATTACACATTTGATTGTACAAACCATCATTTCCATCAATTTTCATTCAATTTCTCAATAAAAAACTGTAAAATAATGAATATACCATCTTATAAAAACTTTGAAATTTTTGGACATTTTTTCATGGGTAATTAGCACATAACGTACTCACCTTACATTGTTATTGTGGAAAACGTCCATATCTTTAATTTTTTACATTTTAACCCATATTTTCACCTTTTATTGCACAAAATATTATTTTCATCCATTTTCTCAATTAAAAATTGTGAAATAACGAATATACCCATTTCTTTAAATAAAACAAAAGAAAAAAGAAAAACAACTAATTACAGTTATAGTCCCAAATAAATTATTAAAAGGGTAATAGTTAATATGATATAAATTATGTCCTTGAGGGCAAACATCTAATCAAACAAAATGATCTTACCAAACTTGGATTCATTTTTAAGGTGCATGATCGATGCAAATTTTTCGAAAATCCTTGCACCCACAATTAGAGGAAGATTAAAATATATTGCCTTATTCTCCGGTTCGATTGGTTAAGACATTAAAGACCAAAAAAAAAAAGGACATTAGATTTCCAATAATGAATGGGTGATTTATAGAAAGTAACAAATGAGGCATATAATAGTAAAACATAGAAATTTGAAAAAATCACGGTTTTTAACCATATACTTGGAGGAGCCAAACTGCGTATTCTTACGCCTAAGATAACTCGTGACATTGTTGTACCATCCTCCTCTTTATAAACTATTTATAAATTTGCCAAACGGAGGCCAAAATTTTTAGCGTAAGCCATCTAAGCACTTTGTAGAAGATATGCAAATCAATCAATTATACAATTTGAACTTTTAGTATTCATCAATGAAACAACATAGTTTGATTACCTAAAATATAATGCAATAATAAATGGGAAAAAAAGAACTATCAATTTTTTTTAGAATGATATTAAATTTTAACATAAAAAAAAAATATTAAACACTATTCACTTGTTTAAAATATTAGAATTTTTTGAATAATTAAATAGTTTATCCATATCAAATTTCTGCAAACATTAATGCACAATTCCCATCTTTCCCTACTTTGACCAATGTATTACATTTTTCATAAAAAAACAAAAACAAAAAGGTCAAAAAATTGGTGGGGGCAAGTGACCCACCATGCCCTACCTTAAATCCACTATTGACGAAGTGTGAAAGCCAAAGGGATGATAACAATGGCGGGGACGAAGGTAGATGACTAGGGCGCCTGAGTGTAACAACTTTAATTCAAGGAGATAATAGTAACATATTGATGGAAAAATAATGAATATTAAGAATCTTGACAAATTCTATTAGCAGCCCCCGATTGACATCCATTCTTCCCATTCTCTTTCTCATTTTTTTTTTCTATTTCTTCATTTTAACCACACATTCTATCAATAAAATAATATTACACATAAATTCAAAAATTTTCCTTACTTTTTAACCACACATTCTTCCATCAATCACCATTCCAGAACTTATTCTTTCTTCAAAATGGGTGTCAAACACAAGCAAAATTAAGGAATAAAATTAAGGTTTAAAACTAGATTATAATCCTTCGTCACAATTTTTGTTTTAGTAATCCATAGTAAGAGAGGAGAAATAAGGAGGATTTGTAGTACATCATCTGGTTAAAAAGAAAAATGAGAAAAATATGATGTTCTTACACCAAGAACCAACCTCCTTCATTGCACATTTTTGAAACCCTAACTTTTTATTTCATTTCTCTCTTGTATCTTCTCTTGTGATTCTCCATTATATAATGTGTGTAAAAACTAGTATTTAGTCTAAAACATGTTATTATACAGCGCT